TGCACTTATTTGTCGCTTATTTGCAAAAGTTACGAAACTATCTCTCTATGCAAATCTTGACCGGTTAAAGTCGTAACTTTTGACTAATTTTGACCGTATGAAGGGTTAAGATCACTTCTTTACTTCTCAAATACTTATTACTTCCCAAATGAACTTCTCCATATATATACGCACACACAATCGGGATTATGTGAGATAGACAAGACATTCTTTGTGAAACATACTTTTGAGTATGTGGATGAGTTTGTATGATACCAACCTTCAAAGAAGAACATCAGATATTCACATCATAAAACACCACACTTTCATAATATTCAATCTTCAAATGAAAAAAACGAACATTCTTATATAAAAGAAATAAACCTTCACATGAAAACACAACAAATATTCACATGTTCATTGTTAAATACATCAAACCCTAATGGGAAGCATACACCAAATTCACAATGCGTATCGAATATCCAAGCTTTTATAACATGTCTTATGGTCTCATAAAAACTATATTGTCTTATTAAAAAATCTATCTTAAAAACATATGTGTAACGTTTTTGGATCAATCCAAATTGGGGCCTGACTTTATTACGAATTGTATCTATTTATAATTATATACACTAATTATTCTTTTTTATGACTGTCGCTAAATTAAATGCATAGGGCCTTTACACCTACAAATATATAATTCTAAAATATTATGTAGAAAATTATTAATCGAGTCCATATACCAATTGATGATAAATCTTGTATATATACCATTTTAAATATTGAGCAAATAAAAAATCAATTATTTAATCTTGATACTGATACAAGATATACTGTCACGATAAAGTAATACAATATCTAAAATTTAATAGTATAGGCACCATAATAAAAGCAATTCTTGACAAACGTTTGTTTATTGTGACAACAGAGACCTCTTCGCATTGCATATAATCTAATTTTTCACGATTGGACGAATCATGTTTAGCAGGCAGGATTGTCGTTTAATACATGAAAATTTTCAAGCAAAACCGATTTCCTTGTGTTACATTTAATCTATAAACCAAAACGATCCTCATAGAACATTCGTATGAGATATATTTGACACAATTTTTGAGTAGGTTGTTGCAAAAACTTCTATTGTGGTATAGGTTTTTTTTTTTTTTTAATCTATATTCGGTAATAATGTAACTAATTCTTTTAGTAGAACAATAAATTAAGCAATTTTAATTGAATAATCTAAAAATTAAGTACATTAATACAAATCTGGTTCTTGTGGTTTTGTTAAAAATAACACCTTTTTCATTTCTTGTAGTTATTTAACATCTTGATAAATGTATATATAAAATCTTAAAAATAAGAAACAGACTTATATGTAAATAAATATCATTTATTCAAACTTTAGAGAATGATTTAAATGAATCCCTTATTATATAAGATCATAATGTCTCTTGATGAATATGATATAAAAAATATGATTCAAAATTAATCAAAGAAGCAATGGTAGATAATTGTTGTGTCTGGGTTGTGAGGGTTCTCAACTACATGGATGGTTCAATATGTTTATCGACGTCTGACTCTGAGATGTAGATCATCCAAGACACATTAACATGGCGTACTACTCCAATTCAAACCGGGATTTGAATCCAAACTTCTCCTCATAAGGATAGATGGAAGGAATTTTTAGGATCAGTCGATGTGTTAAATGGGAAAATGCACAAATTTCAAATTAAAAAATATATATGAAAAAAAGAAAAGAAAAGGAAGGGTACGTTGTGTTGTGTTGTGGGTATGAAATGACATGCGTGTAGTAAATCTTTGAAAAAGATTATGTTTGAAACTTATATTAAATGACGTCATAATATCTCTGCGGTTTCTGGATTTTGCATTGATTACCCAAATGCATTATCTCCTCAAATATGGTATTTTCTTTTAAACAATAATATATTTGAAATGGAAATTGGGTGGGGGAAGCATTCTGACGTATGCCGTTGGGCTTGGATCGGAAGTGGGACCGCATTCCTAAGGTAAAAATAAGGCACAAGGGATTAGATTGTAAACAGTCTAGAAGTCAGGGTATATTTTGCTAGTTTTGGTAAAAGTCAGGGTGCTATTTGTAAGTTGTCCTAGAGGGTAAAAACTTACTACCAGTTAAATTAAGGCTAGTAGGAAACAGGAATAGGACTGTCTCTGTCACATGTCACTCTAAATGACTCTTTTGCCCCTTGTCTCATGGAAATCAAATAAATCATCCCTTTCTTTTTTATTTTGATTCACAAAAGAAATATTAATAAAATTAAAAGAAGCATTCAAATATGCAACAATTTAAATGTCTATAAAAAGCTCAAAAGATGTTTAAGTTAAGTATTTCATGGATTTTAAAATAATTTGTTTTAAAAATTATGTCAAATTCTTTTCTAAAATATGAAAGAAAATAAAAAAAAAACTTCAAATTTAGAAGAAAACAAAAATATAGAAAAATGATGATTCTATAAATTTGTTATTTGTTATTTGTATGGTATGATTGTTTAAATATTAATTAAAGTTTTTTAATAAAGATTTGCATTCATTTTATACAAAAATTGATGATGTTAAATATAGACGTATCACCCTTAATTTAAAAAAAAATGAAAAATGGGATGGATAGTATTAGTAAGAAAGAAATATGAATGAATGGAATAAAAAGAGTAGGAAGAAAAATAATAATTGCACAAGTGAAGGGAAGGGAAGGGAGGAGCAGACCACCAGTCGCCGCCATCATCAGTCTCGCTCACGTTTAAGCCAATGCCATAATACTGCTGCTGCTGCTGCTAACCACGCCTTTTTAACTTCCTCTATCTTTATTATTTACTAATTACTATTTACTACTACTACCTTCCAAGTTCCAATTCATTCATTAAATTTTCAAATCCATTTAATTAAATTAAAAACAATATATTTGTTTAAACATGAAAATTAACCGTTTAGTTTTATATAATATAATGAGTGAAGCTTAAAATTTTATTTTCTCAATATAAATCAAACAACGCGTAAATCTTAAAATACATTATTTTGTTTGGCTCTTAGGATGATATTTGTACTTGAACCGTATGGCATGAGCCGTTTGCCGGACCAACGAAGAAAGACCGTTTCAACAAAAGTTTTTTTTTTTTTTTTTTTTGGTCTTAAAATTTGGAATTCAATTAATTTAATTTTTCTTTTAATTGGGTGGTATTTGATTCATAGTTTTTAATAACAAGGAAGGTATAGTATTGAATAGTAGGAGAGCAGTAGTAATAAAATAAAGAATTGTATTATATGTAATAATAATAAATAATAATAATGCTGGTATTTTAAGCATTGACAAGTCCGTCAGGAGGGGAAGAACAAACAGAGTATAATGCCTTTTAACGGCAATATTAACTTTTCCCATTTCCCCTTCTCACTAACTTACAAAAACTCTTTTATTTTTAATCTCTTTTTATTAATCAACTACATTCTAGACTTTAGGGTCCAATTTCCATCACCTTTGAATCAACCTTAATCAGATTCATTCCCATAAATAAACGCAATTCTTCATCGTAAACTTTAGAGATTGCTGCCATTTATTACTCACCAGTTATTTCTTATTCTCTTTACCCTCTCACATTACCACCGTTAAAACAACGTACCGTAAGAGAGGGTATGAATAGCAGGTTGTTATTTATACACTTTTTACTTGTATATATCTGGTTATTCCTTAGTGTCTCACTCACCTACCTATTACCTATAATAGGATAGGATAGAGTAGCTTTAACATAACTGAACAAATGTTTTTTTAATAATGATAATATATATAATTTTAATAAGAAAGTAGATTGAGAGAGTGTATATTTATCATAAATTAAGGTGTTAAGGCCTAGAAGAGGGTGATAGGCTTAGCCAATAAATCTCCTTACACAAGACAGTCTTTAAACGTGTATGATGACACAAATTTCATTCTTTTTAATTTATGTTTTATAAAATTTGTTTATTTTTATTCAATTTAATTTAATGCATAAATAAGAAAAACAGAAGGTGAGAGCAGGAGTATAAGAGACACACACAGCAGAGACAAATCGTAGACTTGCTACCACAAAAAGGAAACAAAAATAAAGTTAGGAATTGCCTCTCAAATCCCAATACCCTTTACACACACACTCTCTCTCTCTCTCTCTCTCACTTGTTTCTGCCCCAAAACCCCATTTGCATTTCCTGCAAAAATGGTGGTTTTTGACCATAACAAAAATACCCTTTTGCTTTTGGACTGTTGTTCATCTCCATTGTTGGGATTTCTTTCTTTCTGTGCAAAAACGGAAATGGTGGTGGTTCTTGATGCCCTATTGGTTCACAGGGATAAACAAGGGTTTTTCTGTGCAACAATGGTGGTTCTTGCTCAATCACAATAAACCAAATGAAAGGTGTTCTGTGGGCAGACAATGAGGCATAACAGGATGAGCCAGGCATGAATCTTTTCCATTAACAAATCAATTATTATTATTATTAAATTATTACTACTTCTCTTTTTTAAGACATCTTGACACCTTTTTGTTCCTACATTTTGATTTGGGGGAAGTTGAGTTTAGAAACAGTTACGAAGCTAATGATTTGTTGTTAATCATTTCATTCTTGATATATATATATATATATATATATATATATGTGCTGAAAGAAATTAGTTTAGTTTTTGGTCACCATTTATGTTGATCAAGATTTCTGTTAATCGATTGTTGTTCTCCTTACCAATTTCGTTATTGTTCTTGTTGGTTGCGTTTTATATATATGTTGACTTTGACTATTACACACCCAGGAAGTCAAATCAGGTTCATATCTCGACTCCAATTTCATCTCTTGTTTTAAGTTATAATTTATGTGATTTATAAAATAAAACATTAGTCATGTATATACCATTTTGCTTTAATGGAATTCTAAAAAACAATCTTATATTTAAAAAAATATATATCTTGACCAAATTTTTGACTGAACTCATCTAGAAATTGTTGGTTTAGGGATTAATCCACTTTGTAACTTTGGTAATAATTTTATTGTCATTAAGAACCGGTTGTTTGAGGAAATGAGATATAAAATACGTCTGGATGCATTACATCCTTTTCGACTACAAGAAAACCCCAAGCATCAAAAGGCTAGCTAGAGTAACGAATTTCGTTAACGTCCGAGTTTCTGGACGAGACGATTCTCGATCTCCATTCGCTTCTTTACCAGAAGCCCATATTTTGCAACGAGCTGCTTGTCTTCAACCGTTGCCACAAGTTTACATCCAAACGCAGACTTCTCTAAATCGTCTTTATACATGCAAGAAATTGGCACGAAACATCCTTTCTTTTCGCATAGCCAACCATGGGCTGCCCTCAATGCAGCTCCTAATGACGCTGAATCTACTCCAAATTACAGCAAAACCAAAATCGTTATAAACTTTGAATGGCAAGTTAGTTGTTATTAGCTCATAAACTAGTCATGTTCCGTAAAAAAATAAAAACCAACTCATAACTAGATGACAAGGTACGTTGATTTACCTGATGTTTGCACGGTGTAGACATTACAGCCGAAAATGGAAGCCATAGCGCTCAAAATGCTATGATTTGCCGATGCCCCACCTGTTGCGATTATTCGTTTTGGAGGAGATGGCATCCGGAATCGTTCTGCATGACCTCTCATCGCAAGGAACTGTCCTTCAATCAGTGCACGAATCTGCAAAGATTTATCAAATTTTAGAAAATTGTTGCGCGATGAAAAGCCCATTTGCTGATGATTATACCAACCTCAGTAGGAAAATCGAACTCCTTTACTTCATGTTCAACAACGCCGTCCAAGGTGTTGCCATTAAAATTCTCAAGGGTATATCGATGGTAACCAACTGATAAAATAAATAAAAATAAAAAATTTGATCGTGAAATATGCGGTGAAAGTAAAATCTGGAGTTCAAATTTGACTCTCAGAGTCGAATAGATTAGCATTGAACTTTAAAATGATACAAATTGTTTTGATTAAAACCGTGTTTGGCAAATCATAAGCTAAGCTTATTTTTTGAACTTATTGAAAAAGCCTCGTTTGGTAAAACCATAAACAGTTTTTAAAAAATATTTCAGGTAGCGATTGATTTAAGGGTTTTCTTTTTCACCATTTTTTCCAACTATACCACTACATAAATGACCAAAAACCTCATTCTTTTAGTTAATTTTACATTGTCATCTAATTTATTAGCTGCTATCGATTAGCTTATAAGTTTTTAGGTAAAGCTAGTTTATCAGCTAATTTCAAAACACAGTGTAACAAAAGCAATCATTAACCACATCAATTCATAGAAGGATTCTTATACTAGGACTTGTATTATACTCGGAAAAGAATACTCAAAATAAAGGTATTTTTGAATCCAAAAAGTCAAAATTTGACTTCTTCAAGATCAGCAGCAGACTCTAACGAGACGGGTATAACTTACTTGGGAGGGGAGGGAGTATTTCATGATCCTTGTAATAAAAGCCCATCTTTCCACCTGAAAAATAGTTGTAAAATTAACATCTAACTATGAAAAATCTTGAAATACAATGTATACAAGCTCGATGATGAAGTGAAACGAACCGTTTAAGGGCGGTGCTTGTTTTAGGGACCGATTAAAAACATCCCAAGATTTATCCGCACATCGATCACGAATATCTATCAAGATCACAAGATTGTCCAAATGTAACCTGTGTTTGTTTGTCATAATAACATTTTATTAAATCTTAAAAACTGTACCTTCGCGGGTTAGAGATCCGTTCTTGTAGCATAGCATCACCATATAACCTTTGTTATCGACAGGGTTCGGGAAAACATGACCTTCTAGGCTTGGCTTATGATCCATGGTTATTCCAAATACCTTAAAATTCGAACAAATTATACTCGAGGGTATTTTGGACGTTTTTACTAGTAAAGACTAAGAAAGGTTGGAAAATCAAAGAAAGACTATATGAAGTCGAACTTACAGTATCACTGGTGCCCAGACTGATTGCTAAATCCCCTGGTGTGTTGAGGGACAATCCTGTCAAATACCAAGTGGACTTTCAAAAAATCAAATGAAGCCACTTCATCTCTATCAAAATTAATGCAAAGGTAGATCTAATAATTCAAAGAGAGAATTTGACTATTAGCCAAATTTCTAAATGCTCATCAAGAAGCCCAAAATAGGACTTTGTGATGACTAGTAGTAGATAAATTTATCGGTAAACTGGCTAAGGTTATCCTCCACTGTTAAACGTAAAAAGAAAAAAAAAAGACCACGATAAATTTCACCTGCCAAGCTGTTAGGATTATCTCCAGACCATTGAACAACCAAACACTCCTTGTTGAATTGGAACCTAAACGAACAGACTCATCAACCATCTTAGAAGGTTGTTAAACGACTATAATACCCTCAACTCAAGATTCATATTATTTTAACCAAAAAGAGTATATTGGTCATTTTACAAATGCAAGAAAACTGAAGTGTGGTACACTAACCTCTCAACAAAGTATGGAGCAATTAAACCAGCAACAGCATGAGCAGGAGCCAACTTCCCAAGTTTTTCCTCTAATCCAGGAGCTGTTGCCTATTTTGAAATTTTACGACGTCTGAAACACTTTAGTTCATATTTAGCTTCTAAACCAGTATACTTACAGAAATGCTAATCATTCATTAATGAATAAATTCATAATCTCAAAGTTACTGAAAGATACAGACCTCCAAAATCTGTTTTGACCAAACTCTCTCCTTGATATCCATCAAATTCATCCCAGCACCATCGGTATGATCAATGCAGGCATACCTTCCAATGAGAAGAGATGCAATGAATGAGCTCACCAGTGAGATCCGCTCGGTGTTGTTATAAACTTCGGGTTGCTTCTCAAAAATCCTTCGAATTTGTGGGCCAGTGTAACGCTCATAGGCTCTAGATCCGGTCAGTTCAGACAACTTCAGTGCGCCACCCACAGCTTTCTCAATAGCCTTACATTGTTCGGTTGTGCTACTATCCATCCAAATTGGCGATTCTATTGTTGAAAATGCTTGTCCAAATTGACCAACCAGAGGTTTTTTAGGATCCAAAGATGATAAGATTCTGGAACTATCCTTCTTCCAGTACACACTACCATGTTGCTGCCCGCTGCCCGAAACAGCAGCAACTTTCTTGAAATCAAGTTTTTTTGAATCTTGAAGTCTATGAAGAATGAGGTCCAATGCTTCAACCCACATTAGGGTAGGGGAAACAATTCTGCCATTAATTGATGGATCTCTGTAGACACCATCTTTGGTTTTGTAATGGGGCAAATCTAAATCAAAATTGACTATTTCTGAGGTCACAATGTTGAGTTTAGAATCCAACACAGTTGCCTTAAATGACCTGTGAAATAATTGTACAAATTTTTCAAGGGTTTAGCTATTCAATTTTATCATATATTAATAAATAGCCAATTCAAAATTCAATTCTAACAAATACCCAATTTAAAAAATCCACAATTAGTTGCTAGCTCAAGATTCAATTTTAACAAATGCCCAATTCAAAAACCCACAGTTGTTCTTAGCTCAACATTCAATTTTAACAAATGCCCAATATAAAAAACCC